GGTCAAGCGTGAAAGAGAAGGGGATGATGAATTGGCCTCTGATTCTATCTCGAGGCCGGATGAAGAAGACAGATCCGCTATCGATGTGGATATTAAACGCCAAGAAGACGAAGATGACCGTCGGGTCGAAGATCTCGTCTCAAATATTGGTATGGTATCAGTTCAAGGCGCATCGGATCCACGATATCTTGGTTCCACGTCTGGCATCTCATTTGCTCGGGTTGTTTTCTCGGCGGTCAGAAGCTCTGTTTCCACCAACACAGCTGAGCGGGCAGCACCCAGACCCACTGAACGCCAAAAGGCCAGATCAAGCACGAATAGTGGTACAAGTTCCATGCGTGACTCCTTTTTTGGGTTGCAGGCCAGGCCGACCATGAAGCAGGCACCTTTCCCTGACCAAGCAGTCGCAGAGCGGCTTGTAAACTTATATTTCGAGCACGCAAATCCGCAAATTCCAATTTTACATAGAGGAGAGTTTATGGAAGTTTTCCGCCGAATATACTCAGTGGATAAGGGTAGGCGGTCACATCGAGACCTCTACCTTCTGAACGTCGTGTGCGCTATTGGTGCGGGCATAATTTTCGACGCGAAAAGTGATGTCCACGCGCAAGAGGAGGAAGTCCGGCTGAGTCACAATACGTCTCCTACACCCCCCTCACAGAAAAGGCAGAAGCTATTTCTCCACCAGTATCAACCAGAGGAATACCATGCTTCTGCTGTGGTGGATTTGGAGGGGTTTCTTGGCTCATCTCAACACACTGACGGATTTGGTGGTCTTGAAGAGCTCCAGGCCGTTTTACTCTTAGCGAGTTTTGCCCTTTTACGCCCCGTTGCTCCGGGTCTGTGGTATATTATTGGAGTTGCGGTGCGTTTGGCAATCGATCTCGGGTTACACTATGAGGATGGAACTGGCATAGATTCCATGAGCGACCAAGAAGAGAATTCCCTTAAAGCGAAATCCAAGGATGGTTCAAGTGGCAAGTCCCGAGACGGTCGAAAAGTTAGAATGAAGGTCGACCCTCGAGAACGCGGGAGGCGGGAATGGGTTCGGGACCTTCGCCGGCGACTGTGGTGGTGTACCTACAGCTTTGACAGGTTGGTCAGTACCTGTGTTGGTCGTCCCTTTGGAATCACAGACCAGGTCATCACCACCGAATTCCCTTCCTTACTCGATGATAAATACATCACCGAAGCGGGATTCCTTCACCCACCAGCAAACGCAGCCAGTTACAAGCACGTCTCACAACACTACTTCAAGCTTCGTCTCCTACAGTCAGAAATTCAGCAGGTCCTCCAGCACCAGCAAGCACTGATGGCTAGGAAAATCGGCAAGAACCGCAGTAACACGTTCATGCATACAAAGCTCCCGTCACCGTTCCTAGCTAAATTCGACTCATTTCGTTCGTGGAGGGATGATATCCAACGACGCTTAGCGGAATGGAAGCACTCTGCCCCGGCCCCTCATCAGATTGGAGTGCAATTTTCCGTTGAATTCCTGGAACTCAATTACTGGCAGGCGCTCATCATGTTATATCGCCAGAGCCTCGTTGTGCCGGATCCGTTGGCCGGTGAACTTAGCCCGACAGAGAATATATCGAGTCCATCCATGACTAATGTCGAAGATGTCGAAGATGAAGATGATATATACCTCAAGGTTGCGGAAGCTGGGCAGAAGGTCTTGCGATTGTATCGTCAATTGCATCGGGTCAGGCTGGTCAACTATACCTACTTGGCTACCCATCATCTTTTTATGGCGGGTTAGTTTTACATCCTCCCTAGTTGGCGGTTGTGTGGGTTAGTTATTAAACTGACGCGGAAATAGGAATATCATTTCTCTATGCGATTTGGCATTCACCTGTTGTTCGAAGCCATCTGGTAGGCTATGCTTCCTTCTGTATAATGCATTGATAAGTTGTGCTGACAACTTTTGAAAACAAAAGACCCTCGATGATGTTGATTTCACTATTCTTGCTGCAACGTCGGTTCTTGGAGATCTCATGGAGAAGTGCCCGCCTGCCGAAGCTTGCCGAGATGCTTTTGAACGCATGAGCAAGGCAACGGTTCAAATGTGTCTTTCTACCACTGGATTTGGCTCTCATGCTACAACTGAAACAAATAGATTTAACATGGTGACACCTAACCCTGGTAATGAAACTACCCAGTCCTTTGAAGAACAACACTCACCGCCTTTGTCTTTGGGAACTCACCAGCAACATCAGCTATTCGACCAACAGCAAACTGCACCCGTCCAACCACTGTTTGGAATGGAGGTTCATGATCTTTTCCCTAAGGACTCGATAGATGAAAGCGAATGCCAGCCAGAATCACAGGACCCCAATTGCAGCCCTGGGGCCCAACACCCTGTACGAACCGATCAATACATCTCCAAGGAATACCAAACCAGACAGCCCTATCCGGCACAGCAATCGCATTCGCACCCTCATCAACATCTGCTGCAGCAGTGCCAGCATCAGGTTCCACATGTTCAATCCCACCAACAACAACACCAACATCACCAGCCATACACCTACCCAAGCCAAAAACACGAAACTTCCAACTATCACCTCAGTCCCCGCTCCCTACCCCACCAAGCACCATACGGTCACCAATACCCCTCCAACCGGCCATTCACCGACAGAGCTTCACCGGCGACAAGCTCCATCTCCGTCTCCACCTCCATTACCAGCCCGGTCATCCCTCACAGTAACAATCATAAAACAGATACCCTCTACGACCGGCCAACCGGTGGCAGTGACTCTGACACAACAGGTGATATTAACATGAACATGCTACCCTTACCTAGCTTTAGCGATGCTTCTTCTTTGGCAGGCGGCGGCGGACCGAATCCGGGCACGGGACTGGATCTGGGATTCGGCATGGCGATGGATTTCCAGCATGGTTGGAATGAAGGGGTTGGATATGACTTGTTTGATGGGTTCTTTTTTGGGGCGGTTGGGTTTGGTGCTGGGGCCAGTGGGTTTGGGAACGGGGATGGGGATGGGGATGGTGATAATGGGGGCGGAGGAAATGGGAATGAGAGTATTGCTGGTGGTGGAATTGGGGGGGATGCTGGCTGAAAAGGAGGTTTTTGGAAATGAAAATTATGAGATGTTCGTTATTACTTCCCAGCCTCCCTTCTGTTTTCTTTTCACTCTCATCAATTAAATTGGAGGTGATTTTCTTGAATATACTTCTTAGCCATGTGTTTAATTATATGTTTGCTTCTTTTTGTGTTGGTTTCCTTTCGATAGCTCACTTTTGTGATAGCTTCCCTCTTTTCCCCCCATATTCTTGTGTGAGGATTTGAGATATATATATTTGATATCCCTTTTATGTTGTTGGAAAACCTTCTTGTGACAATTACAGTTGCTTGAAAAAGTCCAGGTTAATTTACTTCTTGCCTTATATACCTGTAGTATCTTTTGTAGCAACGAACAATTGAGATTTTCCTTCCCTTCCCATTTTCTCCGCTGAGAAACCGAAACTCTTACTGTGGGTAATTCGTAAATGCACGGATGATTAGCGGGTAGTTAGTCGTGGGCATTCACACGACATCATAAAGACTATTGCCAGCAACCGGTGTTCACAGAGGCAATCGTGCCTTGCAGTTAGGTAGAAGATTTATGGACGAATCTCACTTGAATGGAGCTCATCAACTAAGCGGATTTGTGGATTCAAATGGCTTTCAGATACTCAGTTGATCTGGACACGAAGATGATGTTTTATGTCCTACACATGAAGAAATATAGACGGTCGTTAGCCGGGCTGATCCATGACGCTAGCTTTCTCATGGCGCGCTGCTGACTTGGGGGGCTGGTTCTGGATCGTGGGGAAAATCTAACTACATTTTCACCTGCTGCCAAAGCAGTTGATGAAAAGGCAAACAGAAAACAACAGACCCTGACCTGACCTGACATATTGACATTGACATCAACACAGACCACTGACGCCTACACACGACCAACAGCTTTTGCTTCACTTCCTATACCATGTTTCATCAGTTATTCTTCCACCATTGAAGCTTCTCTTGGCCACCCCTCGCACCCTGTTGTCCAGCTTCTACGCGTCTCTCCATTTCCTTGTCGTTCCTCTCCTTGGTCTCCAGGAACAAGCCACCTTCAGGTACACCAGTTCTCCCCTGCACGGTCTGTGGATCATGCAGTTTTCCCCGTTGTCGAATCCCTTTCCTCCCTGGAGCAGCCTTCCTGTACGCATTGCATCATTGGACTGACCTGGCTGCCGCTGCGAGTGTTAGTTACTGCTACCTGACCAGCCCAACTAGCCTCAAATCCTGCGTCAACGGAAAAAACCCAAACGACAGTCGCCCAAACACCCCCCCCCCCCCCCCCCCCCGGCTAAATAGATGACGCCTGTCTTGGGCTTTTGAATACATCCTGTAATAGGTCTGCCTTTTTGTGTCCTAGTTCCCTTGCCTCACTTTTATTTTACCTTTGTTGTTATTTTCTCTGTTGAACTACTCGCTGGACGGGAGATCCCGCCGTCGTGTCACTCTGCTTTGCGCCTTTTTCAAGCAGAAGCAAAGGGGAAACGAAACGTTTGCCTTTACCGTATTGTAAAGCACCGGCTAATCATCTTGAGTCTTATAGTTTTCTTTGCCGTGTCCGATATCAGTCAGTAGTTGCTATCGTGTGGCGATTGAACCCGGGGTTACCCTTTAGAAATTTAGGCCTACGGATTCAGCTATAGCATCTTTAATAAAGCTAACTTTTCCTTGCGATGTTGGAGCAGATGCTCTTTTTGCTTCAAGGATAAGCCTATTGGTAGGAAGTACAAACCGGAAAGGAAGCGGGGTGTACGGCCGTCTTGCTCTCCTTTTCTCTGCGGCACTCTCTATTATTCGAACGATGCGCGACCGTACTCCTTTCGATTAGCTACAAACTTCAGCTTTCTACACATTCCCCATAATTTGACCCTCAAGCGCAATCCGGTGGAGTGTTTTCCCCTTGTCCTACTCATCAGCAACAGGCTAGGTTGCGAGAATGGTGAAGGCAGACATTAAGAGAGACTACTACGCCGATCTAGGCATTGACCCGAAAGCAGAAGAAGATGAGATCAGAAAAAAATATAGGAAGCTAGGTGAGATATCCTCACCTTTTGTCCATGTAGCTGTATTGTATTCCTCCTTAATCCTAATATGTCCCTGCATCACAATAGCCTTGAAATTTCATCCGGATCGGAATCCAGGCAAGGAACTTGAGTACAATGCCAAATTCCAAGCTATTCAAGCTGCATATGAAATCCTTATTGATTCCAAGGAACGATTAAAATATGATACCGGTAGACTTCGAGCGGGGTATGGTAAGTTCTACTGCTCGTCTAAAACAAATATGCAACCTCCGCGACCGCAATATCCCCAACCAAATAACCCTCAAGCTCGACGCGTGCCTACCCCAAATACACAACCTAGAACAACACCAAATCCTTCCGCACAGTCTAGAAGAGAGCCAACACCTGGCACACAGCCGAGAAACCCCCCAGAGAACACACAACACCATCCTCAAGGTTTTCCGCATCATCGAGGATCATATCCCACTCCTCCTTCCGCAGGAGCCCAGAAATATTCCAGCTATGCGAAATCAGGTTCACAGAAATGGGACAAGATCTACGAGGATACGCGAACTAGGGCTGATGCGTTCCGCGGATTTCATGAGATGAAACCGAATGCCAACCCAGGCGGCTGGTCAGGATTCGATCCAAGAACAGGCCGACCCAACGCGTCAACATCAAATCCACAGACCTCTCGACGTCAATCTGCATATGAGACCTATTTCAATGTTCCAAATCCGTCTCCACAGCGTGCGCAAGCGAAGAAAAAACAAGGTTTTGCTCCTGGAACCCCAGGGGGAGATGAACCGATGGCGCAGAATACGTCAGCCTATGCCAGTTTTAACAAACAGCGAGCATCTTACCATGAGCCACACTTTGAGCCTGCGCCGTCCCCAACGGCAAAGAAGTGGCCTCGCCAGGAAGAATCGACCGATACTAACATTCCAAACCTGCAAAGGACAAGTTGTAGATATGCAACTACTGGTGGCGAGAAAACCTATGTGTCCGGAGCTGGTCTTGGACGATCTTCTAGCACCCGAGATTCTCCTTTTACAGAGTCGGATACTCGTTCTCGTACTAACCCCCCAAGTCCGACGTCCCCCCAGGGTAGTCGAGGAAGGCACCGCAGTGCCAGCCCGAAGTTCAAATCGAACCGAGAACGAACTTTTCCATCTTCCCCGGAAACCAGCGATTCTGATGAGATTGATACATCTTTCAGACCCAAAAGGTCCCCACGTAGTAGGAAGTTTGGAAATAATGTGAAAGGAAACATTTTTTCACCTTTCAATCCTGACCCTGGTGAGGACACTTTGGGCTGCGCAACCCGGAAAGACTCTTGGCTCTTCGATGAACCCCATATCCGTCCAGACGGAAGCCCCAGACAAACTCCCCGCGAAAGATGGAACTTGCATACTAACTATGAGAACCCTCAAGGACACCATCCCGATAACGTCGGATTTGCCCAGCATGACTCCCAGGTACACGAACCGTCTGCAAAAGCCCAGCAGACCCATGGCACCCAAAATCACACAACAAGCCAAGAGGCCGAAAATCCTAGTAATAACTCAAAGAAATCCGACTCACCTCATAATTTTAACATGTATGGCCCATCTCATAAACCCTCTATTCGCGAGTGGTCGAGGAAATGGGGGTTTACCCCTTCACCGGCTGCTGACAACACCCCTAAGCAATCACTCCCGCTCTGGGCTTATCCCTCAAGCATCCTCCCCCAGCTTTATAACCCTCCAAGATTGAGCAAAGAAGCTGGGGACCGGAGTCCTGCATCCCAAAATATGGATGGGATTCCACGTGATGGAAACCCCACCCCTATTAACCCATCCAATTCAATCCAAATAAATCAAACTACAATAATGAGCGCTGACTCAAGTTTTATTCCCAGTTTTGGCCCATTCACGGAAAACAAATCCCCTGTTGATGGTACATTCAAGAGCAGAAACCATGAGAATATCGACGTCACTTTCTCCGCTTCTGATTGGAATGGAAAGTTTCAACACGCGGCCGAATTCTTGGTACCAAGATCGTCTAGAGAGTTGCCCTCTCAGTCAAAACCGTCCCGAACTCGTGGTAGGAGTATAAGCAGGCCTAATTCTGCAAATCATCCTCGGCCTTTTCCACCACCCGGAAGCTCTAATCAGAACCCACAAGAAAACATCAATAAATCCTCTTCAGCTTTCCTTGAATCGGGATTCTCAGTAGACAAATGGACAGAGGAAGTGTTGAAATCCAATATTTGGACTATGCCACATAACGAGCTCCCCCAACGGAACCAAAAGCGTCAAAAGAGTCCGAGAAAGCAATCGAAACCGGCCGTGAACCGTCCGCCAACAATCCCCAAACACGCAGCTGCTGTGACGACAGAGGCAGAAGAGGCAGATACTATGTTATCCAATGGAGACCCAGTCGAACCTCAACAGAACCTTCCTGAATCCGTTGAGGCAATGGATATCGATGATGGAGTCCCTAACAATGATCTCAAACAACAACAGCCTGCTCCGTTCAATGCGGCAATGGGAGCAGATATCAAGCCTGCCACTGCAGCGATTCCCACGACAGATGGTGCTCTGCCCCATAGTACTCTGAACTTGAAAAACCTCACCAAAGTTGCGCCATTTACGCCCACCAACAGCACTGGCATCAACGACCTTAACGATCTCAGCAGCACGCTTCCATTCGAATCGAGACCGGACGAAAGTAGCCATACCCGCCTTACCGTCCGTCCGCAAGATCTCACGCTCCCCAAACCGCCCAGAGTGCCCGCAGCGCCGAATTTCTCCACAGCGGAACACACCAACAAAGCTGAAATACAGACCATGTGGGAGCGCTACGTGGCCGATGTCAATGCCTACATGCATGACTGGAACATCTTCAACCGCACCATGCTCGGCCATTTTAACGCCAGGCAGCACACGGTGGAGACTGGACTGGCGCCCAACTGGGTTTGCGCTGTTGGCAACTCCACCCGACTTAACATTAAAGATGGGGCCGATTCGGCAGCGACGAAGAGCACCGATGCGAGTAATGGCGTGCAAGATGGAGATGAGGAGGGTGACGCTGCTGACGAGGAGCAGTTTGCTGCTGGAAGTGGCCTGGGAGGGTTCAATGCCTATTTCCGTGGCGTGAAGGAGGATTTTGTCGTGCGGCAGCATTGGGAAATTGCGTGGGAACGGCATTTGGAATGTTTGGAGGCACTGGATGCGACACGCAGGTTCATGCGGAGTGGGGGGAAGAATCGGTCTATGCCTATTGGTGGAGCTACGGGATAGAAATACTTTGATAAATTCTTTTTTTTTTTTTTGTCTTTTTCCCTCGCAACTTCTATCAAGTTTCCTGAAGGGGTGCCATTTGGCGTTCCAGGAGATTAAATGTGGTGAAGTGGGAAAGGTCATATATGTGTGTATACGTCCCGTCCACAGATGCGAACGTGGAAGCAGTTGCATGGCCAGACCGTGGAGCACGCATGGAAGGAATTCCATTAGGGCAGAAAGACCACAGTCAAATATATGCTATCTTGCAGGAGCTTCATAACTTCCGCTGTCAAATAGTTGCACTAACTTGGAACTGTGTCCTGAATCAGGCCTTTTACAAGTACTGTAAATCTCCGCTCCGGAATATGTTCCTTGGTCGCCTATTTTCCTGGAAAAGTTTCTCGATCACAGGCTTGCGAGAGGGTGATTGGGGGAAGGGGGCTATAGATATACAGAACGGACCTTTTTTTTTTCTTCACTACGAAGGCTTCTCCTGACTGGTTCTCTTGCCCAATGCAGACGATAAATGAATAGATCCCTATTCAGTTGACGCTGCTATCAAGTTCGCATATGCCTATCATCGGCGGAATATCGCTGCGGGAAGAGCACTAGCTTCTCCGCACACATAATTCTATTTCTCTTGAGTCGATGGCAGCAGCTGCTGGACGTTCATGGACGACATAGGGGCCTTCTTGTCGCATTTAGATCTCAAGATAGACGATAGATGGAAGCGGGAAAAAGGAATACGTTGTAAATAGCAGAATCATGGCTATGGTATGTGCTTGCTCTACAGGGTTGAGATAGATAAGGTATTATTATATTTATTTATTTATTTATTTTTATTTTGGCTTTTTTAGGGAGAAGCAGAATTCAAGCATGCCTTAAAGAATCTGTAACATGAGATAGTTTGGAACGAATATCAAACAAAAGAACGCCATTATCTGTTGAAACAGGCAGTGAACAATGGAAAGAAACAGCAGTCAATATCCTACAGACTCCCACTTTGGTTCAATCAAATCTTGGACACGGAGTCAAAACAACATGGTAAGATCGATGGTTGGCACTGGCGGCAGAAAATCAATGACAAATATAGCTCAAGATTTTGGTTTTGATATCCTGAGGATATGAAGGACACATCGCACGGTGCGTGAGAAGCAGAAGAGGCCCGATCTCTATCCGGTCTTCGGCACGATGCTCGATTGGTAACTTACGGGTTGTTCGCTGATTGCTGGACTTCTGTTTTCGTCTTTGGGTTGTCAACGAAAATAGACACAATCCGGAACTTGTGTGTAAGAAGATGTATGTACAGGCTATGCAAGGTATGTACGAGGGAGCAAAACATGGAGCGGCAGGCTATGTGGAGATGGTTTATTTTATTAACCACCGTCGTCTCGTTCGACATTATGGGTGTCGAGGGCCCCTGCCAGCTTGATTTTTCAGTTCGTCACGGAATAACTCGAAGAAACGCTTCAGACTGCCCTCTGGCTCTGGATGTCGGAGTGCTATATGTCAGTATATAAAGGTACCTATTGACATTCTTTTCCAAAGAGATGACTGGGGATATCTTACTCTCAATATTGGTGCCTCCCATATCATCCAAGGCCTTGCCATGCCGAATCTCCTGGACCTTCTTGTGTACTAGCCTCACCGTCCTGTGAAACCCCGGGCTCGCCAGAAGCTAGCATATACACAAAGAGAGTTAGCTGTAGCTCGAGACAAGCTTGCTTTACTTTTTCATCAACCTGCTAACAGGGCACTCTCTGTAGCTTACCCTTGCAGTGAGCCAAACCTGGCAAAGAGAGTAACATTAGTCAGTTTAGGGATTCTCTGTGGCAAGCTTTGTAAGATGAGTTTATTTAACATACCTCGAGCATCCGAAGCCACATACTGTGTTGGGTGCTGGTGGAGATGCTGCCACCAGCAATCCGCGTCTTCTCCTCACATACGAGTAACGGAGTGAAGCTCAGAGCTGCTTGCAGGAATCCCAGGAAGCAAACCCAAGCTTGGGGCCCTGTGAGACACCGATAATGCAGAACTAAGAGCTTTGGAAACGGTGAGTGTGTGAGTGGGTGAGTGGCGTGGGAGTGGGAGTGGGAGTGGGAGTGGGTGAGTGTTGGGAGTGTGAAAGTGATGGGCGGTTGTCAATGGAAGGATTAAAGATACCTACCTGGCCGGGAGTGGTTTGTCCGTTGGTTTGGGCCCCGGTGGTAACTAAACAGAGTAGCTAATAGGCGCTATCGGCTTTAGGTGGGGGCATCGTAGCCGCCACGGAAACGTCGAAGAAGAAACCAATAAATAAATTGTGGGGATCCGGCAGAACGAACTCTCTCCAACTTTCCAGGTTTTAAAAAAACCTTCCCCCCCCCCCCCCCCCCCCCACGGCTCGTAGTTACTCCTTCACAATTGGCTGACTGACCCTTGATCACTTCGAATCCTCGTCACGTACGCTTTTCCTGCTCTCTTCAGTATTCTTCTTGTCTTCAATTCCACCAGGAAGACTCCATTGGTACCCGGCGTTGAGAAGATCATGATCTCTTAGATACACGGCAGTCGGGCAACGGAGCACGTACATCGATCTTAGAATCCATTGCTACAGCTCAAGCCCTTTTCTTCGCCATACCCCGAGGACAGCTGCTCATGCGAACCTATATCCAGGTCCATCTCCAGCTACACTTCTACATAGATTGTCATTCGGTTTAAAACTGCTCAATCAACTCCAATTTGGGAAAAGACATCACACGACTCCCTGTGGACCGTGGACCGTGGGCCGTTTGGCGACAAATGGCCAATTAATTAGCCCATCACTAACTGCAAAAAGCATTTCCAGATGCTATCTTACAAGCTGATGTACAGTATTACTGATACTCGCTTTATTTTCTCTTTGTGACTACGGCGTTTCCGTCGTCTACCTCGTGGTCATTCCAAGCTGCAACGAACAATCTTTCCTTCGACCCCAGCTCGCGTGAGCGAATGCACCGTGAACGTGGCACCACAGGTCGTAGTGGACAGCTCCGCCAGCTGGTTGGAGTCTGATGCGCTGGACGGCACGCCTGGATCATCTATCAACTCTGGATCGGCACCCGCTCCCGCTTCAGCTCCGGCGCTCAGTTCCTCCGCTCTATCTCCAGATTCCCAAAGCAGCCGGTCGAACAGCAGTTCAAGACATCGCACACACCAAATAGTACGAAATCTCCTCGGCCAAGCCAAGTTGTTTCGTCTCAGAACCGCTGCGAAGATGTCAGAAGTGCATTTCCAGTCGCTGTTGTTGAAGCGGTCACGTTCAGATGATAGTAGAGTATCCGGGAAAATGGAGTCGTTATCGGGAGAGGAGGAGAACGCTTTGGTGACCGGGAGGAATGGAGATGAGAACGGGGATGAGAACGAGGATATCCCTACCTTTCTAAATTTGCCCGGTGCAGGTTAGTATCGCTGGTCCAATTGAAGTGGTATTATATTTTCTTACGGAGGATCCCATTGGCTAATCCGTGCCTTTTCGTTCTCTGTTTCTGTTTTGCGTCTAATAGAAATACATAAGAAATTCGTCGATATCGAAATCCTTCAAGCAATGCGCCTGTCAGGAGCCGAAGGGACAACGGGTGGAGGAGAGCAGAAATTTGTGGTAGAAGATAGCCCAGAGATCCTGCCAAGGAATCGATACATAAATATTCAAGTGTGGTCACACTCCCGGATTCACCTCAAAGTACCTGACGGGGAATGTGATTTTATTAACGCATCGCCGATATCTCTAACCCACCCCAAAACTGGGGCGACTGCTCGCTACATTGCTGCACAGGTAAATATACAGTTCCTTCTGAGCCTTATTTTTAATTGAGTGTTTGCTGATGATTCTCACCAAGGGCCCTAAATCCGGCTACCTGGAGCACTTTTGGAATATGGTATTTCATGAAACCGGAGACACAGCTGTTGTGGTCATGCTCACTCAGACCTACGAGCAAGGGAAAGAAAAATGCGCCTTGTATTTCCCCCTAAATATGGACGCGCCCGTCACCCAAATTTCTCGCGCGGTCACTGATCCCTTCGTCGATCGCAACGGTGATGGTACCGATGACAATATCGGAAAGGTCACGATCTTGGAATGCACCTACGACGAAGAGTGCCGTTCTGAAGTCCGCAAACTCGAACTCATCCTTGGCTCGCAATCTAAGATTGTCTGGCATTATCTATTTGCCGGGTGGTCCGACTACACGAAGCCACAAGGGAAGGACCGCAATGCACTTATCAAGTTGACCAAAGCCACTGCGGAAAAGGCCGGTTCTCTAGACAATCCTCGTGTTGTACATTGCAGCGCTGGCGTCGGACGGACAGGCACGTTCATAACCATCGACCACCTGCTGCGGGAAATGCGGACGGGAGACCTGTTGAAAGTAACTGGCGACTCAGATCCGATTTTCAATACGGTGAATCTGCTCCGCGAGCAACGGATGTGCATGGTCTACACCGAATCGCAGTACCAGTTTCTCTACGACATTCTCAAGGAACAGGTTCTCCTTTTCCTTAGCCGAGATGTGAACGCTAGGAAATTGAAGTCGCCTGGATCCCGCTCGCAGAAGTTGGCGAAACTCTCTAGCGATACGGATACGCCCTTTGAACCCACGCAGAAGGAGGAACTTGTTCCTGTTGTTGACATCATTCCTAGCCCAGTCAAAAGCTAGGCGTTTAAGAGATTCTTTACTGATTTTATTTCCCCCACTCTCTTTCCCCCCTGTTTTGCAAGGCACTTTCAACTTCTTTTTCCTTTCGCTCTAAGGATATGGTAGCCCGGGGACCGGCGTGTATTTTTCTTTTCTCTCTTTCTCTTATCCTGTATTATCTCCTTCTTCTCCCTTGCTGTGTGGTTTTATGGTTTGGCTCAGGGCAGAGTGCGGTGGGGGCGTCTTTATTTTACACCTTTTCGGTATCTGGGAGGAGTCAGCTATTGGAGGAGATGGTTCGTTTTTAAAGTCAAAGACATACATACTTGGGCGCTTGCTAAGAATGGTTGGTGGCTATTGGTGAGCCATAATAGATATGAAGAGAAGAGCGAAAACTAGAACCTTGCATGTGCATGTTCGAAGGTACGAGTGTTCATATGCGCGACGTGAATGTGGAATCTTTACATCGAATTCTTTACTATATCGCTCAAGTCAACTTTTCAAGTCGACATGCATGTGATTGTACTGTACCTACGGGGAATCCAGGTTCTAAGGTCGAAAAGCAACACCGGAACATGTTAACGGTGCGGCATGCAACTGGACGAATCAACAGAAAAGGGCGGAGCAGAATTAAAATAGATCCAAGAGGGAGAGAGCTAAAATTAATACATGGCTAGATAGAACAGGGACAACAGACAATGCCAATGCCAATGATACAAGTTGTTGTCAGAAGGATAAATCGGAATATAAACATCCCCCAGTTAGTATACATTGTCATGTACTTTCATCTCATTTCTTTCCGTTATTAAGTTTCTGTAAACAATTACTCGTAATTCGCTTCCGATAGAAGGAACAATATATTTTCAAAAACAAAACAAAACAAAAACAAAACAAACCAAAAAAAGTCCAGGAATACCAAATCATATATCTATCAGACAACCAAAAAAAAACAAGAATCCAATCATTCAACAAATCAATCAGGCTGTATCTTCCGAATCTCTTCAGCATCGCCGTTCCCCGAACTGCTCGGGGGAGTCCGCTGCCCATCGCCATCGCCACTAGCGGTGACCGTCTGTCTATCATCATCGCCCTCCTCCCAATTATCCACTGCATTTTCATCCCAATTGTCCACTTCCTGCTCTAATGTCCGCACCGGAGTGACCCCCGTTTCCTGCGGACCTAGCCCTCCATGATCCCCGCTCGTTGACGGTGAACGGACACCTCCCAGTTCAACGTCATCCCCTACCCCCTCCAGCACTGCCCCAAAGCGGGCCTTGCGCCGGCGCTCGAGCATCCGCTTATGGTACCAGTTACATAGACCGACGGCAGTTAGGCTGCCGGCGATGTTTGAGAGTACATCGATGGGGTCGAAGGTGCGGTCGTTGGGGAGTAGAGCCTGGAGGATCTCTGAGCCTATTCCGAGGGCCATGGTGCATACTATGATGGTTAGGTGGACGATGCGTCGACGGGTGGTATCTAGGACCCAGTAAAAGGTGACGGAGAGGAGAAAGAAGATGACCAGGTGTAGAAGTTTGTCGTTGAGGCGGAGGGAAGGGAGAGTGTGTGAGTGGGACTTTTTTGGGCTTTTGCCGCTGCCAGCTCGTGTGGTGCCATTTGGGAGGAGACCGATGTAGGCGCCGAGGAGACAGAGGAGAGCGAATGCGCCTGGGGTTGTTTGGTTAGAGAAGAAGCATAGCAACGCGTGAGATATGTGGATATAGATAGAGATAAATAGACAAACAGGTGAGGATTTTAGGCGGGCAGAGATGGGAATACTTGGTGCGTACCAGCAAATGGGTAGCGTATCCGCAACATGGTGGCCAATGGTATATGATGTATGAGAGCGCAGAATAACCAAATTCCCGGGAATGTATGTACTCCGTATATCTCCTCCGCACTCTGGAGTTATGTGGTTTCGTGAAACTTCTGCTCGCGGGGAGTTGTGGCTGATTGGGGTTCAGTGAACAGCAGATGATAGCAGAACTTGACTGGCCATATCTTTGCTTGCTCGCGGGAGATGAAAAGCGGACAGCGCCGTGTGTACACTAGGGGATAATAATTATGGTCTCTAAGATATATATATATATATATATATATATATATGTATATGTATATATTATATGTGTGCGCGTGTGTGTGTGTCTCTATATACATATATATAGATATATACCCTTGGTGGAAGTTGGTGTGTCTAAACTAACGTTTATCTATTGTCCTCCTGCTCCGTTCTGCGCTGGGCGTTCCCCAGGTCCCGTGACCCGCTTCCCTGCTGATATTAGCTGAGCATCACGTCTTGTCACCTCCGCAAGAATCTCCACCAGAGCAGCCCGGTCGCCTGCCATCGATAACGCTCCCCATCCATCAGTTCTGGCTGCGGATATATCGCCGGACTGTTTATTGTAATCCTGGCTTTCATTTGATACCACTTTTGCCCTCCCTACGCCGCGTTGCTGTCGCTCGCTGAACTGGCCCAAAAGCGTGGAGGGACGAACCCCTCGCCCGCCCCAGTGCTGGGGGTTTGGAGCGTTAATGTCTCTCGGTCAACACCACACCTGGCTTCCACCAGGCCATCTTCGCCCTCCCGATGACCACCACGATTCCCATCCTGTCGTCAATGGCCTCTCAAAAGTCCCGTCGCGACCCCGTACTCCCCAGTTCCGATTCCGCGCTAGCACCGACGGAGCGCAGCCCGGAAACATGATATCCGAAGCTGAAACAACTCCGGAAGATGACCCGCGTATTGCCACCTTTAGGGATTGCTATCAGAAAGGCGAAGCAAAAATTGGCGCATTGTTTACTTTCGTCAAAGCTTCTGATACCGGTGACAATGATGCTGAAGCTTCTGAAGGGGCCGCGGTCGGTGCTACCGCGGCCGACAGTCAAGCGCAATCCTCAGCTCCTCCCCGAAAGGCAGCGCGCAAACTGGACGACGATGACTATGACGACTACGATGATGAGGAAGAGAGTGATGGTGCTCCTCCGGTTTCCTCCCCGCTTAAATCAAAACTCCCGGCCGCTCGACCAGATTCCCACTCCCTGCCTTTTCCGCCTCAAAAGCAAGCGATCACCCTAACCTCATCGTCAGATACCTCGAAGGATTCAAAGAAGGAATCATTAGAAGATATCCGCAAAAAATTGGAAGATGATAAAAAGGCAATCGAAGAGACTGCGAAGCGAAGCTTTCGTTCCTTGTTTTATACCCTAGAAAATGACCGGGATGCTATGCTGGACCAGCAAAGGCTAGAGGAGTCCGAGAGACAAGTCGAGGCGGAGATGTCCAGCCAGGGTGCGAATAATGCCAATCCCGCCCATGCTACAACTTCTGGTCATGGAACTCTGAGCAGTGCAAACCTCGGTGCCTCAAGCTTGACCCTGAAAAATCTTATTGCGCGCATCGATATGAAACGCAGTGAAGTTCAGGCTTCGGATGCTGAGCTGCGAAGTTTGATGAGCGAAGTCAGGAAAAATCGAAGTAAATGGGCAAGTGAGGAGAAAGTTGGGCAGGAGGAGCTGTATGAGGCTGCAGAAAAGGTTCTCAGTGAGTTAAAAGCTATGACGGAGCACTCTAGTGCCTTTTTGACGAGAGTGAATAAACGGGAAGCACCCGACTATTATAACAGTGAGAATTTTCCATCCCGCCCGCCCTTTACTGCTAATTTCGAGGTTTCTAAGTTGACTCACAACTACCGCAGTTATCAAACGCCCGATGGACCTGGGGACTATGACTAAGAAGCTGAAAGCGGTCCAGTATAAGTCAAAACAGGAGTTTGTTGAGGATCTCAATCTTATTTGGTCCAATTGCTTGAAGTACAATGCCAACCCTGAACATTTTCTCCGAAAACATGCCCTCTATATGAGGAAGGAAACCGAGAAGCTCGTCCCGCTAATCCCAGACATTGTCATTCGAGATCGCGCTGAGGTTGAAGCCGAAGAACGAAGACTCCAGCTGGCCGAGCTTGATGGCGCTGAAGAGAGTGACGATGAGCCAATTATGTCTTCCCGGGGCCGTAAAGCTCCCGGAATGAAATCCAAAAAGGGAACGGGAACTGGCAGGGTGACTATTGGAAGCGGAACGGAAGCTACTCCTGGAGCTGATACCAAACCTCAAGGAGCAGCGACAGTGCGCGCCGAATCAGATGCTGCTGTGGATGGAAGCCAGAATGGATTTTCCACCCCTCCCCCTGGTACTCTTACTCCTCTTGGTTCGAATGGACTCGGTACGGGTGCTCCTGGGAGCCAAGGTGACTCGATGGATATTGATTCTTTTGGTGTCTCTGTGAACTCGACAACACTGTCGCGACCAATGATAGAATTTGAAGATCCCGAATACAAAATATGGAAGCAAGTCACCAAAAAGGACAGAGCACTTCTTGCAGCTGAAAGACATCGACTTTTCAGTGGGGATAAATTGAATTCCGATGAGCCAGCTTTGCTGAGAACGAAGGCTGGGATGAGGCGATGGCTTCGAAACCAAAGACAGGCTACGGATGAGGTTGATGGATTGGCTGTTGCTGGACCGCAGTCTAGGGAGGCGGAGACGACCGGAGAGACCTTGGCGGAAGGTATTGAGGAGGAGGAAGACAAAATGCTTCCAGATTATTACGATACGATGTCAGGAATTCCTGACCTCCCCGAACAATTACACTGGACCGAAGACTCTGAAGGCAACGTGGTAGACCCTTCAGAAGAGTTTCTTCGAATTCTACCGAAGGGGTACTTTACAGCTCCCAAGAGCAAGTTCACGCAGAAAATGGACGCAAACCTGCGTCAGATGCAAGAGACACGGAAGATATGCTCGAAAATAGGCATTGTGAAGCAGATGCAGCTTCAATCACAGGTATGTTTTTCTGGTTCCTCCTCCAACCAATCCAATTTGAAAATAATGGTTTGTCTAACAAATCGTGTAGATGTATCAAAATCAATTTCAGAAATACAATCCAGAGCCCTTTGTGGAGCGCGATGTCCCAACCCATGTGATGAATGACAACGGGCCTGTCATAAGCCCATGGGTATGCAGAGCAGCTCTCCAACGCTCTGTTGGGAAAATCTTCTACAGCGCTGGGTTTGAGGAGTATCAACCATCCGCCCTTGACGCTATTACAGACGTCGCCGCAGATTTCTTCTATAAGATTGGATCGACTCTTAAGACATATATGGAATCACCCAAGGTTCCACGCACTGAGCAATCCACAGCTTCATCTCAGTGGAAATCACCGTATACGGCGGAGAAGATGATTTTGCACACGCTTCAATCAGTCGGGACAGATGTAGAATCTCTTGAAAGTTATGTTAAAGAGGATGTAGATCGTCTCGGTCAGAAGCTTGGCGTTCTTCATGAACGGATGAAGAGCCATCTTACTGAGTTGCTGCGCCCAGCATTTAACGATACAGGTGGTGATGGATCTAGTGCCTTCCATGATGGAAGCGAGCAGTTCGTCGGCGGTGATTTCGCAGAGGATATAGATGAAGACTTCTTTGGATTTAAGGAGCTTGGCCTTGACAAGGAGTTTGGACTTGCAAGTTTGAGTGTACCGCTTCACTTACTGCAGAATAGGATGTATAGCGCACATCAAGCGCAGAACACAAAGTATGTTGTTAACCTTGCTCTACTTTCCGCTACGTCGCGGTATGCGTACATAGCTAACCATTCATTGCTGCTACAGCGCTGCGCAAACATCTGCTGCCTTATTTCCACCCCCACCGCCTTACCCCCGAATATCTCTTCAAACACTTTCTTCGCAAATCGGCCTGGTACAGAACTTTTTCCTTGCAAAGCTCCATGCTAATAACGATGAGCCTCTGGTCGAGGATTTGGAGTTACCTCCTAAGCAGAGGCCAACAGCAGCAAGGCCACGAGTTCCCGCATCTGGTAAAATCCCCCAAGCTCTTCTGGGTGCTGGAGTAAGTTCCAGTCCGCAAAAGAGACCCGCTCCACCTGCTGGACCAGGTGGTTCAAAATTTGGGGCCTCCGAACCCAGCAAGAAGAAATCCAAGAAAAACAGCGGGACGGCCGGACCTTCAAACGCAGAAACAGGGAATGATGAATCAGCGAATTTAGCCAAGGGTTCAACTAGCGCTAAGACTCTTGGTAAACAGAAGGTTGGTTCAATATCATTTGATGAGAAAGCTGCCACAATATCGTCCATGAAGGGCAAACCCGAGGCAGCTGTGGATGGAATCATTGCGGAGAGCGATTCAGAAATGCCACCTTCAGCTAGCAATGCGAATAACGACATTAAGCTTAACGGTTCATCGAGCGCATTAGTAAATGGAGCAGACGCACCGGATCATGCAGCGGGTGGGAGTTCCACCTCTGGGGGCGGTGCCATGCTCAGTCCCGAGAGTATTAGTACGCAATGATATCTACTACTTTTGGCGCTGTTATGCTCGCACTTGTCGCCCCAAGGAAAGGATAACGCCGCATTACATAAAATTTGGGGCCTGACATATACACAAAGAAGAAAAAAGAACCGAGAGACATACCAGTTACTATCCTGCGTTCCTAAACTGAGACACTACCTCGACTCTCTTGGTCCCGACTGGAAACGATGTTAACATCCTTGGCCGTTAATATTCTCTTCCCCCTATGAGTTTATTGTATCTTCTTTATATTCCCGATATTTTGACATTCAGGCAAAACGGTGAAACTGGACATTTGGCTTTTGTGTGTGGTGAATGAAATTCTGTGGCTTTCTTCTTGCATTCCACCTCCACCTTCATTTCAATCTTGTATTTTAATTAAGTTTTTCACTTATTTTCTGTTTTCTGTTTCAATTGTATTTCCTTTGCATATATTATGGGAATAATAAATTCCAAACAGTAATGGGCACAACACATATCATCATGTCATGATTTTTGCACTTTCACAAGTTTGGAAGCCAAATAATTTCATGCTTCTTTGAATGGGTTTGATTGTGTGGAACAGAGCAAGAGGGGTTTCTGTGTATATGTTGAAGACCGAACTCCAAGCCCCCCCCTGTTTTCTTCTGCGTTTCTCTGTACCTTCTCCTTTATCCCCTCTTATTCGTAGTTCCTATATTCATTTTTGATGAGATGCCTCAATAGATGATTTTTTTAAAAAAAAAAAAAAAAAAAAAATTCCTTCTCTTATCCGTTTGCTGTTGGATTATGATAATTATGGCTCACAATATTTTTCTCACAATACATTTTTCCGTCATTAATGGTGCTTCCATGTGATGGTCAATGTGAACATCCTCTATTTCTTCTTTTACCACCCCTTCTCAATCTACGGTATTGAAATTGTTGACGCTTGATGGTATAATTTTTTCTTCTAATCATATTTGTTAGTTTTCTTTTCTGTCCATGTTTCATTTCCTTCTGTGACTTAACATTACCCATCATCATATATCATTTATTGTTTAGTCTAAACCCTGTAACAAAAAAGTTGATATAAATGCAAATAATCAAAAACATTTTTTAAAAAAAAAAATCAAAAAAAGACGAGTCCCTTAGATGTACCCTGTAATTTATTTATTTATTTATTTTTTATCTATAATATTTTTTTTTTGCTTCATAAATTTATATACCGTTTATTCCCGCTGCTTGAAGAGCCCGTGTCCTCTACTTCCGTATCCCCGTTACCTCAACCACTCTCCCACTGGGCATTGGGATATACAACACTTCGAGAAACTGCAAACAAGGAGAAGAGGCGCAGAAGACTTTTCACAGCCGAAAGGCAGGAAAAGATAGGTTATCTATTTTCCTGCCCAAGACTACCTACCCGCGTATCAGTCGGCTTCAAATACGTAGCCTGGGGAGGTTGAGGGGCTTTCAGCCAGTTATTCGGCAAGTTCATTTATCTGTCTCGCTTCTGTATAGCACCTGGACGGCAAGTCCTGATATAGCTAGATATTGCAGACCTTCATGGAACCCTCTTGGGTGACAGGCACGGTGTTTTTACGACCGTCAGCTATGAGGCTATATTTATATCTGAAACTGTTGTGGGGGTTGACGAAAAACAATTCGTCTATGCTATCCAGGCCTTCATATGATGTAGTTGACCTGGAGTCGATAATAGGTAATGTGAACACCCAACACGAGACTGGGACTGAAGTTAAATACAGCTTCTATACAGGGTGCGGCCATTGATATCTATCTTCACACATTTGGCGACCGGTGATGAGTTCTTCAGCCAGTCATATCGTGCTATTTACCGATATCCGGACCAAAGCTAAAATCCCTCCCCGACCTTCGGAATATGTTCTGGCAGTTTCTCTACTACGGTAGTGCCATATTATTGATGCCCGTTACCAAAGCAAGCAACTGCTCCCAGGCCATTCCAGGCATGGGCTCTCCAGCCTCCAGACACAGTTCCATCAAACCAACCAAGCTTAGCGGCATCTCGCCAATGTGCACCCGTGATTGGCCACCCGAACCCTCCTCCGGTGTTCCAGCGCTGGAGTTGGCAGCAAATTGAACCCGCCGTTTCAGATCTGAGCCCGTTCACTCATGGACCAGACCCGGAGTCTTTTCTCAACTTAGCAAATTCTGGCGAAGTCCTATTCTCCTGCAACGACAGCTGGGGAAAAACGGCTGCGTCTTCATCCCAGCAGGACCCTTCTCCCAAACAAGCCCCAATGTGCCGGGCAATGTGCACAACAAACTTTCTTTATTCAGGAGAACGGTCTTCTCTGAGGTCGTTTTCTCATGGCTGTTGCCGTTAGTGTTTCGAAACATTACCCCCCCAAGACCTAACAGCCCGAATTTCTTTCCTTTTTTCTATTTTTACTTTTTATTTCCGTCCCATTGATGATGCAACGTTCGCTTTTTTAGCTTTCCACTCCGGGCCAGTCATGGAATGAGGGAAATTTGCTGCGGGTTGTTCAAGCGCCCTGGCTTGAACGCTAATACCTCCTTGGGACTTGGGGTCCGTGGCTTTCCAGTGGGCACGCCTATCTCAGATTCATCAGGACAAACTTATTAAAGCAAGGTCCGTGACGGTTTTAATTCACACTTCTCTCGTAAATAATAGGTACTCTATTCCCAAAGCGCAACCGAAGAATGACGCGTCCGGTTTAGCGGCGCATGACTTTTGTCCCCTTGACTGTATCCACCTGCCGTCACGATTGGAAGAGGAGGGATGGATGGTTTGATTATCTTTCTTCAAGTTTCTTGTGGACCCCTCCTGGCACAGATACATCCGTTATCCGGGATACCACCCTATGTTCTCGCTTGTCTGCTCGGCTGTTGCCGCACACGATAGGCTTGTGGCCTGCATGGACGTCTACCTCGCTTCGCCTAGAGCACAGGCAGCCCTCCCCTTCCGCTGTCAAATTGGATGACAACATTGTTATGGCTGTCATAGACGTAAATTTTTAATAACCATGGTGTACTCTTTATTAATCACCATATATATGGATATGGATATACCAATTCTTCTGTGACCCAATTTACAGCCTAGTTAATCAGTGCCGATCGTTAAGTTTCTATATAATGATCTTGCGCCCGTCTCACAGCTTTCCCAGGCATTCAGGCCATTGGAATACACCTCTTCATTTACATGACACCTTCAATAATATGCTCCTCTATGTCCCGGAGTCTGAGACCAAAAATCGGCCCGATCTTGTTATGTTCCAGAGTCTGATTCAACCGATATTCCCATGTGCTCGCGTCTTGGATTACAAACCACTTCACGACAGCGTGTATCCGCTTTATCTCCTCAAACTCTCCAATGGCCTTGAACTCACCTTGAAGGCCGGTGCCAGACAACTTGCAACACTGCTACGGCAAGAGAGGCACTCTCTAGAAACGGAAGCCGCAGTTCTTTCGATATTGGCCTCGAGACACAGTCCATGCATCCCTCGCCTTTTCAGATTCGATGTCCTTGATTTCTCACCGAGGACGCCATTTCTCTTGAAACAGTCAATGGGAGGAGTGCCACTCAGTGATGTCGAACTTTCTTCCATCACATCCGCACATCGGAACAGCATTGACGAGCAGCTGGGACGGACTGTGAAGTTCCTCGGCCAGTTCATATCCACCCAGTTCGGCAGCGTCTATTGCGTTGCTCAGGGTGAAGGGAGGCAGAGCTGGAAGCATACATTCCTGTCTTTCATTGAAGCTATCCTTTGTGACGCAGAGGACATGTTTATATCTCTCCCATACGCCGAGATCCGTCACCAGGTCCTACGACTCGCCCCAGCTTTGGATGATGTGACTGAAGCCCGCCTGGTCGTGGTGGATATCGGAGACAGATCCAATATCCTTGTCGACCGAGATACCAAATCGGTCATGGGATTTGCTGATTTCAGCAATGCTGTATGGGGGGACGTTCTGATGGCTGAGATTTTCGAGGACCCATCACCTGCTCTATTGAAGGGTTACGGGTCCAACCAGATGCAGATGGAGGATGAATCGCTTCGTACCCGATTAGTACTGTTCGTGACTCTTCACACCCAATTTTCTGCCGTACTGTTAATAGGACTGGTTACTGATTCTGGTGATTCATTTAGATATTCCTGCTTGCGTCATATACGTAGAATTGTGAAGCAATATTATCGCAGTCGACAGGACGATGAGGAAATGCGTGCTCGAAGAGGACTAACGATGATCGTTTCAGAAATGGCTGCCCTGGACTGCTAGATATGATGGGTGATGGACTGCTATTTGAAGGCTCTGACATATTTCTTTTAATAATCTCTCTCTTGATTCGTTTCTCCTTTTCTTTTGTGTAGGATCTCGCCGACCCGGGTTTTTTTTTGGGGGGATTTAGCTTGCTCTTTTCGGAAAACCCCCCCCCCCCCCCCTCCCCCCCCCCTTTTTTTTTTTTTTTTCCCCTCTTTGTCTCCCTGATGCATTTGCTGGAGTTCCTGCAGGGACAGCCAAAAAGCACTATGGCATAATTCTGAATGTATTTACATATACCCAGGTAATTAATTCGAGTTGGAATTTCGCTACGAGGTCTTTTCCCGATGAAATCCCTAGCACAGATCGATCTGACGCTCGAAAGGTGTAGAGTGAATAGAGTGTGACTCTCTCAACAGCATATGGACTTTGGAGACAACCGACCGTCCTTTTTTGTTTTTCGCTGTCGACTTTGAGACCTGGCGCTGGGGCAACCAAGCTGTTTCTTATCTCCACGTGACTGCGCCGAAACGAACCAGCTTCAACCTTCCCACATGCAACAGGCAACCGCTCAAACCTTCCTTCGAACGTTGCTAAACTGTATCCAAGGGCAGTCCGGTCTCGTTGGGGGGCGGGATGTTTTATATGTTATCTACGCTTGGTCAACGATCTCTCGTCAACTTACTCTGAAGAGCTTAATTCCCAGCCAAAGTATGGCACACTTTCTGAGGGGAAAGCAAGCTGGGATTCACGCGGATTTGAGCGCAGGCCTTGCTCCGGAGCATTTCGTGCTGGATGATGTGAGAGTTAAATAGCCTTTTTCTGATATCATGAAAGGATAATTCTAATACGTCCGTTTGCCTTCTCAGGTTGCCAGATATGGCATAAACTCTCGGATTAGCGCTCTTGCGTACGACCCAGTGCAGTCGTTGCTTGCTGTCGGGACTAGCGAAACACAGTATGGCAGTGGACAGATTTATATATTTGGACAGGAGAGGGTGTCTACCGTGTTCACACTCCCGCGCAAGGCGTCTGTCAAGGTCCTCCAATTCTGCACCGATAAGATTGTTTCTGTGGACTCGAAACACGAGCTCTGTGTATTTTCCCTTGAGAAACGAACACAACTTGCGGCGTATACGCCGCCAGGCCATGTCACTGCCCTGTTGACAGATCCAAGCTTGGAATATGCCTTTATAGGTCTACAGAGCGGTATGTGATGCGACTTGTATCTGTTTAATTTGTTTTCCCTTTCAGTTCCAAACACCATTTCGGAACACAGTCTCTTAAAATGCAGGAAAACAGGTGACCTCGTCACGTATGACCTCGACCGCCTTAGGATTGCTCCGTTCAAGATTCCCAATCTGTGGAAGGAAATAAATCCCCGGGCTAGGATTTTGCCTATTGTATCGCTGGCTTTTCATCCGCGGGATATTGGAAATCTCCTAATTGGATATCTGGAAGGAGCTGTAACCTTTTCAATTAAAATGAATACTCCAGTCAAATTCTTCCAGTATGAAGTTCCACCTGGCGCTCCGGGTGGAGACTCAGATCCCTCAGCCTCTCGAGAGGCGCGAAGACCTAGACTAACCAAAGCCGTGTGGCATCCTACGGGAACCTTTATCCTTACAGCACATGATGACTCGAGCTTAGTGTTCTGGGACCCTAAAGATGGGAGAATTGTTATGGCCAGAACCTTAGCGGATACCGATATTAACAAACCAGGAGCAGTGCTACCGGCAACTACACCCGCAGGAACATTTTCTCTCAAGGAACCAATATTCCAAGTTGCATGGTGCTGTAAAGAAAATCCAGATGACACTGGCCTGTTAATTGCTGGAGGAGGCCCAACTACAGAAATGAATAAAAGTCTGACATTTTTCGATCTTGGACCTACACCGATCTATCAAACTTCTTCGTGGCAAGTCCTCGCAAGCCATCTTGCGAAACCACAACACGTTAGCAAATTGGCAACCCCGCCAAGTGCGGAGGTTGTGGATTTTGTACTAATTCCCCGCTCATCCCCTTACTTTGCCAATGCACAAGACCCCATTGCTGTGATTGCATTGCTCTCGTCGGGAGAGCTAGTCACTCTGAGCTTTCCAAGCGGCCATCCGATTTCTCCCACAAATATGCTCCATCTGTCACTCTCCTTTGTTCATCCATTTGTCACCAAAATTTCTCTAGCATCCGTAGATCGCACAAGGTGGCTAGGTTGGCGGGAGAAACGGGCCCAGGGACCAAGCATTCTAATCGGAGGCGCATTAGCAAAGAAACCGATGAAACGCTTCGAAAACCGAGATATTGTCCAAACAGCCCATGCTGACGGTATCATTCGCATGTGGGATACAGGCCATGATGACCAGATTGAAAACCCTTCGGTCATCCAAGTCGATCTCGCTCGTGCTGTCGGCCGTTTCGATAACGTCGAAGTGACTACAATGTCTTTGGCTGGAGGCGCAGGCGAATTCTCAGCCGGCCTGAATAGCGGCGAGGTGGTTATTTTCAAATGGGGTCGTAACCAGAATGCAGGCCGGGATTTACCCTTGGGTGAAAATGATGGACCTGGGCAGTTAACTGATATTTATCGAAGAACTGACCCTGGGCTGAAAGAAGGATTTATTCCGCTGGCTTTGTTGAACCAGGACCAAGGTCCTGTTACTGCTCTTGAGCACAGCGATGTTGGTTTCGTTTGTGCTGGGTTCCAATCAGGTGGCCTTGCCATAATCGACCTGAGAGGGCCCGCAGTCATCCACACTACCCACGTTTCCGATTTTGTTAAACACCATAGACGAATGAGTGTTAGGAAAAGCCACCACTCTTCATCAGAGTCTCAATCTGAGTGGCCTACATGCATTAAATTCGCAATCATGTCTTTAGATGGAGAAGGTAAGCTTGTCAGGCGTTTTATTTTATTAGCGCACCGCGCCCCTATTCATGTATTTCCCGGTTTGTTTTCTAGAGTAGGCTAACAGTGGTGCAGGCTATTCAAGTATTCTCTGTATAGTTGGAACCAACAGAGGAAACATCGCGACTTTCAAGATCCTTCCGTCAGCAGAAACTTATACAGCGTCTTTTGCTGGTTCTCGCAATGTGGATGATCGGGTATTATCTATTTGCCCTATCGACGCAGAGACTGGCGTGCCAGCCCTCGCCACCCAGTCTGCCGTTGCTAACCTGAGGAACGGATATAAGAAGAATGGGGTTGTAATTGCTGTCACTCCATCCGGTTGTCGAATATTCAAGCCAGCTGCTTCAAAGGGTGCAGATAAGAACTGGGATGACTTCCTGTGTGACAATGCGACAGTCGTCAGAACCAATGAGGTATCCGCTCTCGTTGGCGTGTTTGGCGACGGCAAGGCAAGGGCGTATTCAATCCCTGCTTTGAAAGAAATTGCCTCCTCGCAGATCGATAACATTTTGGACATGAGAAGAGTTGGCGAAGCTGTTATATCTCTCTCTGGTGATGTGATAGGCTGGACTGGGCCATCGGAGCTTGCCATGGTAAATCTTTGGGGTGCTGGATTACCTCTGTAAGTTTATTCGTCAAAAAGGAGCTGGCATGGATTTTGTACTGACATTTGAGCTAGACACCGTTGCGAAGACGCAATATATAACCCGGCACTCTCTATACCGCCACGCCCTACTATCTCGAATCTACAGTGGATATCAGGAACTCAATATGTCTCCCCAGCGGACATGGACCCTGTTGAGTAAGTGCTACAATGTTTATCCTTTATTCTTTCAAAGTCTTAGCTTTACTGAGATTTTTCTAGTCGGAGGACCAGATCGACTGCCATCAAAGCATATGCGCGAACAATTGAGACAGGACGAGATGTCCCTCCAGGCAGCGGCTCGTGAGCAGCCTCGAAGTTCGGGCTCACCAGCCCAGGGTGGTTCTGAGGAAGGCTACTGGGCTTACATGCAGCGACAGATGGCGCTTAGGACGGAGAACCTCAATATCATGGGTGACTCGATGGATCGGCTTGAAGAGAGTAGCAGTGGGTGGGTGGAGAATGCGAATAAATATATCAAGAATCAGAAGAAGAAGGCGATTCTGGGCGGTGGGTTTGATGACTTCCCCCTTTTTTCTTTCTTCCTTTCTAGCTTTGCCACTTAATATATTTGGTTGGTAAGTTTACTAACAGCTTTCACCCTAGCCATCGGTTCCAAATTTGGATTTTAAACCTTTTGTATTCTGGATAGTAATTCTGGAGCAATAAAGATCCCTTTTCATAATGGGGAAGAAAAGGAAGGAGGAGGGTAACCTTGATGGGATTTATTCCCTATCCTTCGTTAACTGCACTTGTTATACTACATACTACAAACTGTACTTAATACTATTGAAACCCGAAACCTTCAAAATGATCCTACTGTTCAATTGGACCCCATTTCTCAGCTTGTGCTTTCTCTCATGAATCTTCCAATTAGCTCATTTTATATCTTGCTTTTGTTAACCCCCAAGGCGGAATTCTTTGGTGTGGTTCTAATGATTTTTGCTTAAATCCATGTCTCCCTCCCCCTTTTAGTACAAATGTATCTTATAGTTAACTAACTAGTTATTTAGTTAACTAAGTTAGTTACTGTGTCAGCGCGTGTAAGCAAGGCCTGCTGATCACGTGATATCTGTTCATATCAACGCGTAGTTTGACACGTAGCTAGATCATAACAACAACGTTCTCATCCAACATCCTGCACGATATCATGGTGTTTCTGAACTTGTGAGAGCTGTCGTCGTATTGTTCTGGGAATCCGCTATTTTTGCTACAGTTGATACATGTTCTGCGGATCTGGTTGGGTCAGGGGAAGCGTTTCAACAGCGAAACTCGTCTGGTGAATGTTTAAGTGGAAGTGGACTAATTGTAGATTCCAGATAATATGACCGACACTTTTTTTTTTTTTTTTTTTTTTTTGGATTTGAGCGTTTGAAATTGCCAGTGTACTTAATTTTGATTGGCTGTTTTGACATGTGCGGGTGAAAATCAAGAAGGCTATGAGGGCTTTGGGAAATAAAACAGAGAAGTAGCATAAGAGTGCCAAAAGAAAAGATATAGTAAATTAGTCCTGTGAATATCCGTAAACGACATGGCAAAAACATAAAATCATAAAGGGAAAGAAAAGGCTAGAGAGAGTAGGAGGGGGGGGAAATAACATAAAAGATTTCGGCTCCAAATCAGCGGGGTGGAACAGAGCGGGAATTAAAAAAAGGAACAGATATCAATCAATGAACCATCAGCTCCGGCTGTGCCTGCTGGCGTTGATCCTCCATGTGATTCGACTGATTACCGTCCGACTTTTGCTCCGTATCATCACCCATCTCAACATCGTCGTCTCCATCGCCTTCTGCGCCCTCATCCTCGTCCTCCTCGTCATCACTACCACTGCTCTCAGCTTCCAGATCTTCACTTCCAGCATCCGAATCATCGTTTTCTTCGCCTTCTTCCTCTCTAGCAGGACCAACTAGGTCTGCTGAGTCGCACATCTCGTGGTCCTCACCGGGCGCAGCTCCTGCGGCATGCAGTTCCTCCACCTCCTGCAATTCCTTTAGCAGAGCGTTTTCGAGCTCGGCTTCCTCGGCTCCGTAGGCTGTTCCATCATCGTCTAACGCGTCTGCTTCTGGTTGATCTGGTGGGTATTCAGCTGGTGCTGAGTCCTCAGAGTCCCTGTAGTAATTTTTTGAAATTTATGGATTAGGCACAAGGGATATTTATATTTTATTTCGTAGGAACAACAAGGGCAAACAAAAAAAAAACCATCAACTGAGAAACTGATGACAAACATACCATTTGATGGCAAACCGCGTAACTCTGGGTTTCTCTGCCAGTACATTACGGCGAATTTTCTCAATGATGGGTTTGGCGGGAGGTTCAGCGTTCAGTTCCTCGGAGTCATATTCGTTGTTCACGTAGTATCCAACGCGAACGAACTCTCGACCATCATAGCTGCATGTGAGAAGTATCACAGTCACGCCCAATATTTCGGATGTTGGGATTCTTTTGAGGTCTGGAGGGTCTGCTTCGAAGATGAATTTGTTGACGCCAACGGGTATTGGGCCGACTAATAGAGAATCGAGCTCTTGGTCATGTTCCGATCTGAATCATGTAAATTACAAGTAAGCTTATGCGACTACTGATTTGGATAGAAATCAGGCAACACTTACGAAGTGGCGGAGCCGACGTAGGTGAGTTTCCATTCCAGATCTGGAGAATTGTTTGTTAGTACACCGTCCTGCCTTGTTTTCTCCTCAAAATCGGCGGAGGGGTAATTCAGGACATGACGGAGAGTTCCAGGTACCTTTTTGCAGTTGTTCAAGACATTCAAAGGTGATTTCGAATTCATAGGGAGCGAGGAACGGCGCTGGGTTGTTGATGACTCGTACGCCAAGGAGCGAAACGACAGACATTGCGAAGGGAGTTGTATTACGTAGATAGGGATTGGATGGAATGGGATTGAGATGCAATGGTTTAAATAAGTCGAGGCAGAGGGGTATCAAGAGATGAAGAGAGTGATGTGAGCGTGAGTGAGACAGAGAGACAGAGGGAGCTATATCTACACACACACACACACACACATATATATATATATATAGATATAGATATAGATATAGATATATAGATATATGGAGGTTAGATGTGGGTTTGTTATTCTCTCCTCCGAGCAACTCTCCCCCTTATATACCTGGTGGTTTGTCCGAGTCGTTGGTAGAAAGCGTCACTGGCCCCACGCTTTTTCTGCCCGACGCGCTGGCCGCCTTTGGCCACTTCCGAATCGGGTCGCGTTGATTAGCTTCTTAGCGCGACGAGGCACGTGATATGATAGATTAGGGGCTATTCCTGTTTAGGAATGAGGCTTGGGCAAACTTTAAACGGCAGACGGGGGAAGACCATCCCACTGTGACGATTGTGCTCAACGACCACACCTCACTCACTCCCTCTCTCCCACATCATTCTACGACGGTGTGTTGCCACGGCTTTTGGCGACGACTCTGTTCTGCGTAACTGCTTCTGTCTGCTGGCTAGCTTCCAGCGGTGTTCCGTGTTTGTGGCGCTTTCTCTTTCCGGCGTGTCCATTGTGTCCCCCCCCCCCCCCCCCCCCCCCTTTCTGCTCCGCTCATTTGGCCTCTTCTAACCTTCCTTTGACGAGCTAGCTAGGTCGATTGTTCCAGCAGTTGAACTGTTTCACCTCCTCCGCCGAATCCACAAGTTGCTTTTTGAAGTCATGGCAGAGGATGAAGCTGAAAAGGCATTTTTCCAAGCGCAGGTCCTGAATGCGGAGACTGCGGGCTATGATGTGGCTGGGGATCGGGATGCAGATAGTTCAGATTCAGACGATTATGATCCTTCAAAAGCAGTGCATGATCATTATTCTGCACAGTTACCACCAGATTCAAAACAGAGTGCTGTTTCAAATACTTCTTCTTCTTCTTCAGCTTCTATCCAGCGGAGGTCCATGTCCCAAGATTTCTCTGAAGCCGTGCATAATAGTCATACTTTCCCTCCTTCCCATATTACTTCTAGGTCTGAACCCAGAGACTCTGCCTCTCTCCCCACTCCCAGCACCGCCATTCCTGTACAAGCCCCCTCCCAGTCCATGGGTAACTTTGTTGAGGAGGATAGCGATGATGATAGAGGGGAATATGAGCCTCCCGCGGCATTAAGTCATGTTGATGATGATCATCATAATGTGGCGTCTAATTCTGCTGGTATTCGTCAGCAATCCCTTTCTCTCAAAGCCAATGAAAATGTTTCTCAATATCGTGTATCGCAACAACAGCAGTTTGTTCAAGACAAAAACACTCCTCAAGATGTTCCTCTCAATAGCTCATCCCACACTCCTTCTTATGGTGGTATTTCGGCGCAAAGTGATGGCGCCTCCAACTATATGCAGAACAATTCAAAACTACAACGCCCGACGACGATGACGCCAATGGGGGATGGTCCGTCCCAACCCGGCAGCAGGTCGATTTCTTCCACGCCTACAACACCTGTGGTTTCTCGAGGCCGCCTTCCACATGATCGAGTGGGCATACTAGAGGATAGAATCATCGCAGATCCCCGCGGGGACACAGATGCATGGTTGGATTTGATTAATGAACACCGCAGTCGAAATAAGCTCGACAGTGCTCGGGAGGTCTACGAACGATTTTTCAAGGTTTTCCCATCAGCTGTAAGTGAACAGCCTTTTTCCAAAAGGAGATATCTGCTGATTGCCATTCTATAACTAACTTCTCTCTTTTAATAAAAAAAAATCCCCCCCCCAACAGGCTGAACAGTGGGTGTTCTATGCGAACATGGAGTCGGAAAATAACGAGCTATATCGATTAGAGCAGATTTTCAACAAGAGTCTCTTGTCCATACCTAATGTCCAACTGTGGTCCGTATATCTCGATTATGTTCGTCGCCGTAATAATTTAACCACAGATACAACCGGCCAAGCCCGAGGTATCATCTCATCTGCCTACGACTTTGCGCTGCAAAATATCGGAGTTGATAAAGACTCCGCAAATGTATGGGTTGATTACATTCAATTTATTCGATCTGGACCTGGAAACATTGGAGGTTCGGGCTGGCAAGATCAGCAGAAAATGGATCTTTTGCGAAAAGCTTACCAGAGAGCCATATGTGTTCCTATGCAGGCTGTCAATACGCTTTGGAAAGAATATGATCAGTTTGAAATGGGCTTGAATAAGTTGACGGTACGTTTTATTTAGCTCTCCTCCATTTTGTGCACTAAAAAGAAAAAGCCAAATGAAGTACTGATTCTGCTGCTGACTGAACTATCTAGGGTCGAAAATTTATACAAGAAAAATCTCCTGCCTACATGACTGCACGAAGCTCGTATACAGAGTTGCAAAACATCACAAGAGATCTCGTTCGTGCTTCGTTGCCTCGATTGCCCCCTGCTCCTGGATGTGATGGCGAGGAGTACTTCAATAAGCAAGTGCAGTTATGGAAGCGCTGGATCAGATGGGAAAAAGATGACCCTTTGGTGTTGAAGGGTGAAGATGCGGGAGCTGGTTACAAGGCTCGAGTGTTATACGTTTACCGGCAGTCGCTGATGGCACTGAGATTCTTGCCAGAGATTTGGTTTGATGCTGCAGATTTCTGTTTTCAAAATGGAATGGAGGCTGAAGGCAACGACTTTTTAAAGCAGGGAATAGATGCAAATCCAGAGAGCTGTTTACTTGCATTTAAACTTGCCGATCGACTTGAAATTTCTACGGAATCTGAGCAGGACTCCAGAAAGCGCGGTGCAAAAGTCAGAGAGCCTTATGACCAATTGCTCGATGCGCTTTATGATTTAATTTCTAAAGGTAAGGCGCAGGAGGCCAAGGATATAGCTCTCGTCGAGGAGAACTTTGCTTCTTCTCAGGCGGACGATTCCCACCAGCAGCAGGTCATGGTTCGTAGTAATGAAGATGATGAGGATTATGGAGACGAGGCTACGAAGGCTCGAGAGGCTGCTAAAATTAGCCAGATCGAGGCTGTGAAAAAGTGTTATGCAGAGGATATTGGGCAGCTGTCGAAAGCCATATCGTTTGCCTGGATTGCGCTGATGCGGTGTATGCGTCGCATTCAAGGGAAAGGCAAACCGGGAGAAATGGCAGGCTCACGGCAGATTTTTGCCGATGCTCGGAAACGCGGGCGTATCACTAGCGATGTCTATATTGCGAGTGCCTTGTTGGAACACTATTGTTATAAGGATCCTGCAGCGACCAAGATTTTCGAACGAGGCGCAAAGCTGTTCCCTGAAGATGAGAATTTTACTCTGGAATATCTCAAACACCTGATCGACATCAACGACATTACCAGTACGTTTCATTGCTAATCTATATATTCCTCCCGAAACACTCATCCAAAACTAACCTCCACTTGTCCTATCAGATGCGAGAGCCGTCTTCGAAACTTCCGTCCGAAAACTAGCAGCAAATCCAACTAATATTCCCAAAGCCAAACCAATCTTCGCCTTCATGCACGAACATGAATCCAGATACGGAGACATGGTCCAAATCCTAAACCTCGAAACCAGAATGCGTGAGCTGTTCCCCGAAGATCCCTCCCTCAAACAGTTCCCCCACCGCTTCTCAACCCCATCCTTCGAACCCACCGCCTTCCAACCAATCCTCTCCCCTTCCCAAACGAAACCCAAGCAATCGTCTGCCTCAATGGAAGAGATGGGACTCTCCTCCCGCCAAGACCAGGACTCCCCCTCTGCCCGCTACACGGGGACAGCTGGTGCTTCAACTGCTGCTGCGGGTCCATTATCAAATTCGCCCAAACGTGCATTCCCCCTAGATGAATTCGACGACGAGCGACCGCGCAAATTCGTCAGGGCTGAGTCACCACTTAAGGGTGCTGCGGGCCGACGGTTGAATCAGCAGAAGCAGCAGATTCAGCAGCAGCAGGCTGTGAATGGCAGTGGTGGTGGTGGTGGTCACGGGGGCCACGGGGGCTATGCTGGCGGCGGCGGAGGGCGCGACGGTAGTGATGGTGGTGCTGGTGGAGGCGGGCAAGCGAACAAGCCACCAATCCCAGTCCCGCTGCCGAGGGAAATTATGTTCCTGCTTAGCATTATACCGAATGCATCGACGTATGATGCTACCAAGTTTTCGCCGGAGAAGATGGTTGCGTTGTTGCGGCAGTTGGATATTCCGTCGTCTGTGGGTCAGTTGAGACCGCCTGCGCCATCGGGTGGGCAGGGGAGTGCAGGGGTGAATCGGGGGCAGTATATGGGTAAGTGATTTCTCCTTTCTGCGTCTTTTTTTTTCCCCCCTTCTCTTCTCTTTGTATGGTGTTAACTGGGATCCATGTGTTTGCAGGTGGATATCGTCCTGGTTAATCGATTATTACGCAAATATGTTAACTATCTAATGGCATCTATCTGGTCTTGCGCACTGGGGTGGTGTTTTGCATTTTGCTTTCTTTTTTCTTGTTAATTTGTTTGTGATTATTGGTGGGTGGATTTTCAGTTTCTAGAACCTCATTGGGCCGATATTCGTAAGTGCCAGTGCCAGGTTGTTACAAATCATACCTTTATGATGGAGGAGAAGGGGGAGGAAAGAAAAGAAAAAGAAAAAGAAAAATAGAAAAGGCTCTCTTTCCTTCTTTTGTGTATATTCCAAATTGTGTTCTTTCCCCCTTTTCTTTCTTGCATGTTCTTTTTAAATGGAATGTCGGAGGTCATGCATGCGTATTGTAGGGTGCTGGGCTGCATAAATGGTTTTAAGGGTAGAGATGCCTTTTATTACTGTTTTCCTGTCTGTTTTTTTCTCTTTCGAATTCTCCCATTTTGCTGTCTGTTTTTCTTGTTCTTTCTTTCTTTGGATTTGTATGAGAGAGATGGCATTTCTTCTTTTTCTTTCTTTTCTGCTGGCATCGTTGAAACATGTATCATATATGGATGCGAGAGCCTATCTTGTTGGGTCTTTTCATCTCTTCTTTCGTCGAATCTTTGTTTGCTATTGCCTCAGAGAGCACCCGACGGTGGAAATTGCAGCCAGTTTACAGAACTCTTTTCAGGACAGCGTGGATTTTTCCTTATTGGTTTCTCCTGCCTGACTGGTGTGTAGAGGTCGGTCTTGTAGAAGGTTCTCGAGTTGGAGAAATACTGCGAGGATTCCCCTCCGTTCTCCAAACAGTTGGTGATGGAATGGTTTCAAGGAGGGAGGTGGGTATTCCGGGCCGTGCCAGAGGATATATGAAGTTCTCGGCGCCAAGGAGCTACGGGCGAGCGAAAATATCGATTATCGTTGTGATTTTATTCTGTATCTGAGCCGTAGGGAAGCGATTTATTCAGAGTGATTGAATAGAGTCCTCCAATTCGGTAACTCAGGTCTTATATACGTATTTTCACCTTAAGAGTTTCCGCCCCTATAGATATATATCATGCCGAGCTTCCCGCCCGGCCCCACACCAAGATGCTGATTGGCTAGCGAGAACAACAATCTCGCAACTCCTAACACAGCGTCCACGGATCCCCTGTTCCTGACAAGTACAGGTTAGTCCAACGTCATTTTCCTTTCTAGCCTCTAATAACACAGTTAGCCCCCTCCAACATGGGACGGAATAGCAAAGGGATTTGTGGGGAACAAGGACGTTGACGCGAACGGTTCTGGGTTTGTGGTAAAAGGGGATGGCTCTGATGGGGTTAGTTACTACGACTTGCCCAAGTCAAGGCGCGAATGTGTCTAGGGCTGCTCTCTCTCTGAGCGTGATTGAGTAATGCCAGCCCAGCAATGGAAAGAAAAGCAGAATGCAACGATAGCTGGGCACAGCAAGCAGCAACTGGAAGGTTCGCTCGCCGAGAGCTGTTATGGTGAGTGAAGTGAATGGCAGATTTCTCTCTCTCTGTAACTGCTGGATGCTTGAACCCTTACGTAACGCTCAGGGTTGGATAAATGAGATCAAGGGATGTGCTGCTCCTTCCTCGCTGTGTCACTGCCGTTGTTGCCCTCTGTCACTGAGTTCTTCAGCTTTCACCTCCCCTCAACCCCCTATAAATACCCCTTTCCCCCTTTCCCCTTCCCCCTTTTTCGGTCCACCACCTCCTCTCTCTCCTCTCCTTTTCTCGTGGATCATCTGTCTGTCCAGCTTGATATCATTATCCTCCTCCTCGTTTGCTCTCTGCGGATTCTGTTTCACTTTGAAACCTCGATCAGCATTGCTTCTCTCGATTCTAGCTCTCTCTAGCCACCTTTGCGAGACCTGGTCTCTGCTTAAGGATAGATCAAAAAACACACTCAGCGCCTTCTGAGCAACATTCCTTTCCGGCCAAATCACACAATTCTCATTCTGCATCCACCCGCTTCTCGCGTTTCAACCAGGTGAGCTCCATATCTGTAGAGGATGCCCTAGTCTGCTTGTTTACTCTTTTAATCTTACCCCCTC